ATTTTAACACCCTCAACACCCCCTCTGTCCCATATGGTGGAAAATAAGTGGAAAGACAGCTCACACCCGCAAGCAGAACAAAACAGGAAGGAGTGGGGGGGAGAATTCTGGGAGTTGAAGTCCACTCATCTTAAAGTGGCCAAGTTTGGACAACACTGTCATACACTATGCAGCTGAGTATTTACATTCATGTCATAACCCCCCTAGTTGACTAGGAACTAGTGCCTATTTCTCTCTAATCTACTTATGATACACCATAGTGGTATTAGAACCTCCCCAGGTGGCATCGTTCAGAAGCTAAACAGGGTTAGGCCCAGTTGCCACTTGGATGGAAGACCTCCAGGGAATAACAGTGCTATATGCTAGAATAATTTAATGGCAAACCACTTCTGTTTTACTACCAAGAAAACAACACAAGCATCTCCTAAAGATGAGCTTGACTGGAAGGAGACTTTACTTTTTATGTGATTTGGGGGAAAATATGTCAAAAACGATTCTTCAGAATCCAACACTTATTTTTTCTTTTAAATGAATGTTTATTAAATAAGTTTTTTACAATGTAAAAACAATACAAATTGAAAGAAAAAAGGAAGCAAAGAACAGTGAAAGAAAAGTGGTGACTAGAAAAGAAATGAAAGAAAAAGAAAGAAGTGGCTTCTGTTCTTGTTTACAGCAATTATAAATGCATTTATATTTTATTCTCTCTCTCTAAGGTTATGTTATAACTCCCTTCTTTCCATGTTCTGCCCTTTCAAATTTCAGTAAAAGCTTATACAAGTGGTACCTCAGGTTACGAACGCCTCTGCTTACGAACTTTTCGGGTTGCGACCAGCTCCGGCTGCAAAAATTTACCTCGGTTTGCGAACTCTGCCTCAGGGTACGAACCAGATCTGCGGCCATTTTCCGCCGTGACACATGGTCCGTGGCCGTTTTTCCGCCCATGCCATGTGGTCCGCGGCCATTTTTCTGCCCTTGACGCATGGTCCGCGGACGCCGGAACGGACGAACGGTAAATAAATTTAAACATATG